GCTCAGGGCCACGCGTTTTGTGAGCCAAGGAGCTGGGATGAGGACAGGCTTCCTTACAACCTGTCCTAGTTTGATGGGCTGTGCTGCAGGAAGCTGTGGCACTGGGGAACGTGGTTTAGGCGCCAGGATGAGACCCGTGTGACAACTTCAGGGAGCCAAGAAGACAGAAGATGCGCTGGGAGCAACAGCAGATGAGATGGGGAGTGACAAGGAGGGGGGTGGGCTGCAGTAGAAATCAGGACAAAACCTGCCGGGACTGCAGTGAAGGCAGGAGCAGGCCAAGAGAGACACCACGTTCACGCTCACTGGCGCCCCGTCTGGTGCACAGTAGTTGCTTGACAACTACCCAGTGAATAAGAGCAGAATTAGCTGGGCACAGTGGTGCAGGTCTATAATTTCTAACTCTGAGAGGCCGAGGCAGCAAGAACTCAAGTCTGAATCCAGTTAGACAACTTAGCAACTATCTCAAAATAAAAACAAAAAGATAATAAAAGGGCTGGGGATGTAGCTAAGTGTACAGGTTCTGTGCTGTTCACTCCCCAGCACTACCACCATCTCTTAAATGCCAGTGTGTGTGTGTGTGTGTGTACGCACACACACACACAAGCACATACACAGTGCAAGTAAACAGAGGGTTGGAAATTGTCCAGTCTCCGCAAAGGCGTCCTGCAGTGTCTACAGTGACACCTGCTGCCCATAAAGAACGCCGACTTCCTTCCCTTTTACTGGAGAACCTGCTGCGTGGAAACCCTAGCTGTCCTTGGGCTGCCGGCCTGTGTAGGTAAGAACACAGCGCAGGCTTGCAGCATGTTTGTGAGCAGAAATGAGCGAGGAGGTGCGCTGGAGGCCCCAGGGCCTCCTGAGGCCCGGGGAGCGGTCTCTGCAGGCGCCACTTCCCCCCAAGTGCACTCGAGGACACTCATACTATCCAGACACTCACAAAGAATTTACGCTCTAAAACAAATTTTCAATTGGATTTATTTGGTCCTCGGAACTCGCTTACTTTCTGATTGCTGCTGGCTTCTGGCAATCATGGTCTTGGGAAATTGACACCTAGAGATTTCCGTGTTCCCTCCCCCTCCCTCTCCTCCTTTCTTTCTGTATTGTGAAACTAGAATATTTCCTTTTTCCGTCTCCAACGTCTCTGCAGGTCCTTGAAAGTCCGGATGAGTAATAAAGCTGTAAATGGTGCTGGCCCTGGCCTGTGATTGGCCAACTGTCTATAAAGTCACCTAAGACCCTCATTCCACCTACCCCGCTGGGGGCTGCCCCTGCAACACGAGCGCCCCTCCGGCTTTCCCTCTCCCGCGCGGCCCCTCCACGCCCCGCACTTACAGTAAAGGCGGCTCCCCGGAACCAGCGGGACGCTGGGGTGGGGAGGGGTGGCCCCAGGCTCGACGGTGAAGGCCGCGTAGGTACGCAGCACTAACCCTGAATCCCCAGCTCTATGGCCCTGTGGACTCTGCCAGTGGCCTTCCCATGTGAGAGGCGACCATGCCAACGTGGCAGGTGACTGTCACTTCGGTAGGTGTGCTCGGGGCTCCCTAAGACAGCGGTGCCGGGAGCCAGCCCGCCCGGCCAGGGGTGCGCAGTGGCCACGTGGGTCTCTGCGGGGACCTCGGCCTGGCTCACGCCCCCGCAGACCCCCGGGAATTCCTGCGGGAACCCCCGGCCCGCGCCGCCCCCGGACCCCGACGAGCAGAGGGGCTCGGGGGCCCGGAAGGAACCCAAGACCCTCGCTGCCCGCAGCGCGCTTACACCCGGCACAGCACAGTGATTTCTCGGAAAACCAAGCGCTTAGAAGAAGGCGGGCCTGGTGCGTGCACCGAGGGGGCGGGGCCTGCTCGCCTCCCGCGCACTATTGGTCCATGTGGCGGTCGCTCCCCGCGCCGGCCCCGCCCCATTCCCGCCCCACCCTTAAGTAGCGCGCTCTCTGCCGCCCCAGCCCGCGGGGACCTAGCCGAGCGGCGGGAGCGTGGGAGAGCGGTGTAGCAGGTAGGAGCGCGGCGGGTGATCCCGCAGGACGACCCTTCACGGCCACACGCCTCTGGGAGCCTGGGTCCAGCTCGCGGTCACTGTCGCCCGCTTCGCAGACTAGACAAGCTGTGAAGCCCAATTTCCCCTAAGATCTGACTTCCACAGGAAGCTTATTAATGAGGGACATAGTGGGTTCCCGAAATCCGACAGTGGGAAGCGCCGCGGACAGACCTGTGCGGATTGCGACGTGGGCGCAGGTTCCCGAATGGGGTCGAGGCATCGGGACTCTCGCGTGTCCCTTTCCGTAGGGGAGGGAGGTCGCCACCCGCCAGGATCTGGGCCGCTGGAACTTCTGAGGTCGGAAGAGCCCCAGGGCCCAGTGTGGCAGAGCTAAAGTCTGAGCCCAGCCTGGGCAACTTAGTGACAATGAGACACTGCCTCAAACCAAAAATTGAAATCCATCTTGGGATGTAGTGCTGTACTGGGTTCAGTCAACACTATGTCCGCCCAAGAGGGAGAGAGAAAGGAGAAAGAGAGACAGAGGACCCCAGGGCGCAGGATGGCTGCCCAGGTGAGGTCTGTTACTGCCGGAGCTTTACAGAGGGACTCGGGACTAAAGCGCCTGCGATTTTGAATTGTCCCTTAATCTAAACAGTACCCACTGTTTTTGAAACTAAAGGTAAGAGCTAGGAATAAAGTGAGTTTCCCCTTTTGGGGTATGGCAGGTAGCTTCCCCAGAAGACTTGGGAGTGATTCTGTCACTTGAGGCAGGAGAGACATGTCGGGGAGGGTGTTCCACTCACCAGGTCCCCAGTCTCAATCTTTTGTCGTGGCCTAGCGAGGACCCACCAGGCACATGGAGATGCAGATTAGCTTCAGATAGCCCTTGGTCAGTGGAGGGGATTGTTACCTCCAAGCCAGGGAAGAGGAAGTTATAAGCATGTGACTGGTGTTTTATTTTTTTCCTGGTTGGGCATTTGGTGGGGTTAATTTGCCAGTGTTCAATAAATCATACCGGGTCGCAGTGGCGAGAATCGTGGGCTGGGAGGCCCTTTGGAGATGAGGGGCGGGGCTGTCCACGTGCTCAGAGCTCCAAACTCCGAACTCCGCTGTGGCCTCTCCCTGTAGGCGAAGAAAATGCGGCTGCTGCGGGGCCCAGAGGGCAGTCCCGACCTCCGGCCTGGTTTCCTGATGGTTGCGCTACCTCTCTGAGTCTGCTTTCGTCTTTCAGCGAGGCTGGATCCGATGGTTTCTAAAGTGCTTTCTGGCTTTCATATTCTTCCCCTTTTATTCCTCTCCTTTTTTTCTGTGAATCACTAAGTTGGTCATCCTTAGCAGTTCTAAGGTGATGAACTCAGGAATCCTGAACAGACTGTTCACCCCTTCTGGAAAGACCCACACCAACGGGACTGCTTCTTCCGCAGGGGCTCTGGGACCACGGGGACCAAGGTGGGAGTCTCCCTTCTGGTCCTATTCCTAGCCCCTTGTGTTCTCCCCCAACTCCTCCAGCAGCTCTAGCAGAGTCCCTGGCAGGAGTATCCTCCTCTTCCAGAGGCAGCTGTAGAAGGCAGCATGCTGCTTGGTTGTTTTGGGGTAGGTGGTCGTGCTGCTTCAGCCTTCTGCCTAAGTAAACCTAGGTCCAACTTCTGAGTTGGCCCCTTATTTATGAACACAGATCCTGGGACTCTGGAAACGTCCCTCACTTTTTCGATGCTGTATCTCAGGAGTTTGAGGGGCTTCCTGAGGTCTAGCCAGGGGAGAGCTTTGCTGGGGCTCGGAGTTTCCAAATCAAACTCCAATTCCTGTTTCACACCTGCACTCTCTTCTGTATGCACAGGGGAGCAATGGGGTGATTGGGTGGAAAAGCCGAAACTGGCGATCGAGAGCTCACCTCCTTCCTCCGTGGACCTGGCCCCTTTCTCTGCCCCCACAGCCACCTGCAGGGGGCCGGAGTTTCCCACATGCACTTCTTGAAAAGGTTGCTGACTATTGTTTTGCCTGTTGATCAGCATGGCTGTGGCTGTGACCATATTCTTGGGGATGTCATGTTCACCAGGCTGATCAGTTTGAGCTTGTTTGTCCAAAGAGGTCGCATTTCATCTGAAGAATAGAAATGCTGCTTCTTTGGTTTCTTTTTGGGTGGGCGTCCGTCCAACTGCCTGGGGGATTTCCAGCGCTGTTCTTGTAAGTGTTGGCTGTGCATCACCACAGTGTGTGTGTCCTCTCGTTCTCTGTGCTACTGGGAAAGCCGTCGTGAGCTCGGGGAGGGATGTCTAAGGAGCCCTTGGTGTCCTGGGCCTGCAGTCACCGGGCCCTGGCAGGTGACTGCCTCCCTCTCCTCCACGGTTCCTCATGGCTCACTCAAGAGTCCCCAGAAGAAGGTGACCACCTCTGTGACCGAAGAGTCTTCCAAGGCACCAGCCTTGGCTCAGGTGCTATACCTGTGCAGCAGCTGGAATCTCACCAATGCCTGCTGGGTGTGACAGTCCTCCCTGACACTAAGGGTACCATGACACTTCAGGGTCACCTGGGGGAACTGGGATCCCAGCTCCATCTCATTCCATGCCCCTGCCCCTGCCGCTCCACCAGCTATGAGGTGATGGCCTGGAGGGCTCCTCGAGGGCCTCCTCTTTCTGGGGGTGCCTGTCCACTGGGCGTCAGGTACTGGGGTGCTTCTTGGAGAGGTGACTTTCCCTCAGCTCATGTTGAAAGTGTCGCTGTTCAAGGTGGCTGTGTTTGTCCAGGGCAGGAAATCAGGGAAAGTGGGAAGCACAGATGAAGCCAAAAGTGGGCTCACGTGGGCCCGACAGGCAGGCTGACAGCGTTTGTTCAGGGCAGGCAGTGCCACAGAGGCCAGCACTGTCTGTTGCTGGCAGGTGGCCCGTTGTCCCTGGACCTGGGGCTTCCCCCAACCAGCGCCTCTGCTGTGAGCCTCCAGGTTTCCTGTTCACTGCGCTTTTGGGTGGCTCTGGTTCATTGGACAGTGTTTATTATACAGCAGGGTTTGCTTTTTCCTTTCAAAGGATGTGTGACAGGAATGGCGGACGGCGGCTTCGGCAGTGGCTGATTGAGCAAATTGATAGCAACATGTACCCGGGGCTGATCTGGGAAAACGAGGAGAAGAGCATGTTCCGGATCCCCTGGAAGCACGCTGGCAAGCAGGACTACAACCAGGAGGTGGACGCCTCCATCTTCAAGGTCAGCCTGGGCGTCCCCAGCACACGGGGTGCCTGCTCTTCTCCCTGGTGGCTGTGCTGGTGTCTCTGATGCCTCTGCTTGACCTTGTGGACACAGCTCCGAGGGGTGTGTCTGTCGGTGCTCGTGGGCTGGGGCTCGGGGTGGCTTGGGTTGGAGCCAGTGTCTCAGAGCCATCTTGGCCTGTGCATAGGGCCTGGTCTTGCTTCTCTCTCACTGTGTTCTGAGCTGGGCCTGGCCCCCATTGTCCTAGCCTTCACACAGAGAAATGGGAGGCAGGGCAGCCCAGCTCTGCGGGCCAGCTGGGTCACTGAAGACACGTGTGGGTGTCTCAGAGGTCCCAGATGTCTGGGCAGATTTGGAGGCCTGAGCTATTCGGAGCTTGAGGTCAAGGCCAGCGCAAGCTTCCACTTTGCAAACAGAGGCCCCAGGTGGTCTGACAGAGCCCAGGTTGCAAGCCACTGTTGTTTTTGTTTGTGCACATGTGGCAGGGGAGGAGAGAGGCCTCTGTGCCTCAGAAGGGGCTGAATTGCAAAGGACCAGAGATAGATCTGAGGCCATGGCCAAGCTGGGGCGTGAAGCCTGCTGGTCTCCATTGTATCGCTGGCCCTGAACTGCAGGTGATTGACTGCTGACATAGGTGACCAGTAAGGACAAAATGCCATGTCTCAGCCCAGAGTGGAGCACAGCTAGGTCTGGCTGGCTTGGCTCAGGTCAGTCCTTTGGGTCTCTGTGCTCCTCGTTGGTCCTGAGCTCTGTGCTTTAGTGATTGTGTCAGATCCATGTTCTGGGCTTGTCTCTGAGAACTGGTGCTGGCTGCTGAGCACTCCGAGGAAAACAGGCACACATTCTGCACTCACTCTTGGGGTCCCCTGCTGCCCTTATGTCCCCCAGATCCTTTCCAATCAAGGCCCTGGCTCAGGAAGCCTGGATACCCCAGGGTTTGTGAGAGCAGCCACTGCTCTTTCATTCCTAGGGCCAGTGTGGATTTTGTGCACCTTGCTGTGAACTGGGTTTTGCCATTGGCATCGGGGGGCGCGCTCTTTGGGGTGGCCTTGCTCAGGGCACACAGGCATCTGGGAACTCTAGTTTTTGGGTCATTGCAGGTCAGGGTGATGCTGTTGGGTCAAGAGCCAGACACTTTTCATTTTGAAGGTTTTGTAGGGTATTTCCCAGCATTCCTGGTCTTCTCCCACCAGATTCCAGTAGCATCCTCTTCCCCCGATGACCAGAAATTTCTGCAATGTGGTCAGATGTCTCCTGGCAACATAGTCATGCTGTTCCCACTGAAAACCGTGCTCTGAGCTGACCGTGGTTGGGATCCCAACACTTAGTTAGTGATGTTGGGTGCTGGGGCTCTGGCACAGTGGTTTCCAGAGGTGGGGACAGTGCCGGGCAGGCTGAAGAGAACCAGCTTCTGCCTTCCACCTGTTCCCTGCTTCAGTGGTGTTCTGGGTAATGAAATAGAGCCCCAGATTTATACATCTTATGCAATGCTCTTCATAGCCGTTTCAACAGCCTTGAGAAAACTGTGCAAGATTCCCAGTGTTTCCGTTGGTTACGCAGTGCCCAGTGTGGCAATCTGAAGTGAGTCTACAATCTCAGCAGGAATGGGGACAGGCTGGAGACTGGGGTGCCCACACGGAGTGGGCAGCCAATGGGCTGGGGATAGGTGAGCGAGGGTGGCATGGTGTCGTAGGCCCTGCCTCGTGCTTTCCTGAGCCGGGTCACGCGGAGGAGCTGGGGGAGGGACGGCCTATAGTGTCTGTGGAGCATGGTGGCTGCTGAGAAGGACGATTCCACTGAGAAGGAATCGACAGTGAGACGGACGCCGGGTCGGGTGGAGCTGTCTCAGGTGCTGTCAGCTATCAGCTATTTTCTCAAGTGTGCAAAGAAAAGGTTTCTGGCATTTAGGGGTAAAAACAAAATAAAACAGGAGTTTGCTTTCCTGCCTCAGTGGGAGTGCGGTGGGTAGGAAGCCGCTTTTACCAGAGGTCTGTGTTGTCTGCAGTGTCCCTCTGCACTGGTGTCCTGAGCCACACAGGCCGAATTGTGAGAATGGACCCAGTCCCACTGTCCCAACTCCAGCACAGTGAGGAGGCCCCGATGCCCACTCATGGTTGGCATTAGAAGAGTGTTTGCCTGTTTCATGATGTCTGGGTGGGTGGGCCTTAGCTGTGGTTGAATTGCATGTGCGTAGATCTGATGGTTCTGTGCAGGGCCCTCGGCACAGGCATTCCGGACCCAGAAGCCCTGAAGGAATTGATATTTTTAATATATTTGGTACAGGGTCTCACTAAACAGCTCAGACTCACAGTCATCCTCCTGTCTTCAGCCTCCTCAGCGCTGGGATTCCAGGTGTGCGCCACCACGCCTGGACTCAGTGGCCAGCTCAGTTTGCCCTGGGGTGGGGCCGGCATGGTACGTGGTGTTGGGGATGGAACGCTGGCCTCTGTGCTTGCCTAAGCAGGTGCTTAGTCCCCTGAGCTATCTCGTTGGCCCAGGAATCAATTTTTAACACGCAATGACTGACAGTATGCTAGACGAGGGGGATGTGGCCCTGGCTGCTGAGCGACATCCTGGGGCACAGCCCAGTGAGAGGCTCCCTGGGCCCACATCATGAGCTCTGTTCACTTTAGCTTAGAAGGACTCAAGAGATCAGGCAGCTACACTGAGTTTTCAGAGCCAGCCAGAGGCCTTGAGGCGCAGGTGCTGGCGGAGCGACATGGCTGGGGGAGCTGTGTGCTGGCGCCCCATGGCGGCCCGGGGTATTTCCCCTGGCACGGTGGGGATGGAGCCCCTCATCTTTCCTCATGGTGAGCCAGTGTTGAGAGGAATGAGGGGGCCTGGCAGAGGTGTGGGGCCGGCGCCACCAGCTGTGTGCCGGTGCTGCCGAGTCTGTGCTTGTGGAGGTCCTGGTGGAGGGTGGGTCAGCCTGTGCTTTTCAAGGGCAGGTGGAGGTATGACTTTAGTCCCGGGGACACTTGGCCATGGCCATGCAGAGGCTTCCTGCTGTTCAAGGGAACGGTGCCGCTGGCCTTTGTGGGCTGAGGCCACCAGAGCCGCTGAGTACACGGCCTGCTCCACACAGCAAGAGGGCAGAGCCCGGGAGACCCTGGAGTCGCTGTTCCACGAGTACAAGGTTGGGCTGCCGTTTCCTTAGAACAGTGATAGGCAAGTTCGTGGTCAGCAGTTCGGCCAACAGAGGGTAGAACTGAAGACTGTTTACTCAGCACTGGGCACATTGGCACACATTTATCATCCCAGCCCTCAGGAGGCTGAGGCAGGAGGGTTGTTGCGAGTTTGAGGTCAGCCTGGGCTACATAGTCAGTTCAAGGGCAGCCTGAGCTACACAACAAGATCCTGTCTCAGAAAACAGAAGAAGAGAAGACGCTTGCTTAAAGACACATTCTGAAAGGTGGCGTGCGCCTGTGTCAGGAGGGACTGCTGTGCTCACGGACAGGAAGTGTTCTTTGAGCTCTGCTGCCAGGGGTGTAGATGCAGAATCTGGCATCCACAGGGTAGAGAGCCTTGGCCTTAAACTCTAAACAGTTGTACCTTTTTGAGAGGAGAAAGGTGCCAATCTGGGTTTCTGGAAGTGCAGACTGGCCCGGCACCTGCCCCAGGTGGGTCCAGAGGGCAGGCCCCAGAGGCTGCGTGCCACAGGCCTGCACACCGCGGCCGGCTCCGGAACGTGGCTTTCCTCTCAGCTTGGTTTCCTGACTGGGAGGGAGAATTCCCTCCAGTCCCTTTCCTAGCTTAGGTGGAGAACATGGCCTGATTTTGTCTGAAACGGAAGGTAATTTCTACCCCTTAGGGGCTACCTTCTGATTGGCTGCTGGGTTCCAATCAGAACTGGACCCTTAACGTAACGCTCACTCCCATGTTTTATTTGAAAAATACTGCCCCATGTCTTGTAAACTTCTAAGTTTTCTGGTTTGAATTTCTGGTCCCAGTTCAGATCCTGAGGTCTGGAGAGATCAGAAAACAGCCACTCAGAAAAGTGACACACAACTGATAGAACTGCATTTTAAGCAGCATTTCGGGTGGTGTGTGGGGCTGCAGCATCTTGCAAAAATGCAAAACAAGATTTCTATTAAAAGGAGCAGGGCAGTTGATGACCACATTAGGACTTTTGCAAATGTTCCCTTTTCATACTGCATTTTAGCTAGGAGTTGATTTGAAAAAGCAAAAAGCCTTTGTTTTGAACACTCTAGTGAAATCATGTGCAACTTCCTCTTCGAGCAGATGAACCTCAGCCGCTCCAAGCTCTTCAGCCCGGGGAGGGACTGTGAAAGACCCACAGTGGGGGCAGCTGTGGGCAAGCGCTGGTGGCCTCAGACAGCCCTACCTGGCCTGAGTCTCTTCACACCTGGGGAGACGGTGGCCTGGGATTGGGGAGGAGGGGCGTCTGGTCCCCACCGTGGCGATCTGTGGCCAGCGGCCCTCGTGTGCTTAATGTGCTCCCTTCTCCTCCTTCAGGCCTGGGCTGTTTTTAAAGGGAAGTTTAAAGAAGGGGACAAAGCTGAGCCAGCCACTTGGAAGACGAGGTTACGCTGTGCGTTGAACAAGAGCCCAGACTTTGAGGAGGTGACAGACCGGTCCCAGCTGGACATTTCCGAGCCCTACAAAGTTTACAGAATCGTCCCGGAGGAAGAGCAAAAATGTAACTATCGGGTGTGGGCACTCAGGCTTCCAGAAGCTGCCAGGTTTGCAGCCTCGCCGAGGACTCAGGTCTGGGGTGGAGGTTGCCGCCACAGGGTCTGGGCCCCTGGCTTTAGTTAAACAAATGGTTCTCTCCTTTGTGTAAGCAGCCACAGCCACCGCCACTGCTGACCTCATGCACCATCTGCTGTCAAGTGGCAGCTTCCAGCTGAGGGGGCGGCTCGAGGATGGAGGCCAAAGGGACTGGGCTGTGGTCCAGGCTGGGGACACGCAAGGGACAAGCTACCCTGGCTGGGGCCGCAGGGCCTGTGCAGCTCCTCATGAGGAAACCCATTGGATTCCTCTGGTCCTTGCAGAGGGGGCAAGGGACAATGTGGTGAACAGGCATGGGGTGGAGGGCAGAGTTCCTGAAGATGACACGCTTGTTGTCACTGCTGCAGACGAGCCCTGCAAGCGTTCATGAAGGCGTGAGAGCAGGGACAGTGAAAAGGAAGCAAGCCACACTCCCCTACTTCTCATTCCTGTGTTCTGGCCAGACATCAACCCGTATGTGTCCAGCCTGGTTCTGGCCTGAGAATCCTTTTCAAAGTGATGGCTGTGTGACTGCTGCGGATCAGAGCTGGCTCGGGATAAGACCTCATCACCACTGCTGGTTTAAAATATTCTATCAGCACCCTGATTTTTCTCAACTATTGAAAATGTCGACACATAATTTTTAAAAAGTTAAAATCATGACTCAAACAAATACACAGGGGGCCCGTGTCAGAGTTACTTGCCTCGTGACCGAGGGAAGCGGCACTGTGACAGAGCTCGCTGGAGCATGGGAGGGGGTGGGGTGTCCAGTCAGGCGAGGATGGGAAGGCAGACGTCTGGTCTGGGTGATGCAACCATGTTTCGGGGTGGTGTCCTGGCCCCGATCATCTGTAGCTTTGTCATCTGCCGATGAACACCTGACTTCACTGAATCCAACACCAGGGACCCCTGGGAGAGTCACGTGGCCCCTCGGGTCCAGAGAACACACCAGGTGGTCCAGCGAGGCCAGGAAGTCACTGGTGATGTTGGGTCGCTGCGAAGTCACATGTGACCCAAACCTGCGGGGATGTTCCTCTCACCCCTTCCAGGGCCACCCAAGTCAGAACCAGGGGCGATGCTAGCTTGCTGATGCCTGGGGTGGGGGTGTGTCACTCAAGGTGGCTGTTAGAGGAGAATCGGACAAGTCCCCGGGGCAAGCCGACTGTGCACCTAAGTGGCTTGCAACTGTACTAGGGCCACTCCCCCCCTCCCCCCCTTGCTCAGCGCGCTTCTGAGTGAATTTGTGAGCCTGTCAAGACGAAATCAGAATTCAGTTAGGACAGAAGGATGGGAAGAGCCCATGGGTCCCCGAGAAGGGGAAGGCCAGCAGGCATCGGTCACCATGCGTATTGCAGGGCTGAGTCTGACAGGTGACTCTGAGCAGGGAGTGCTCACTCTGGGGATAGAGTGCTCCTGGGCAGGTGCTGATCGGGACTGGTCCAGCTGGCCATCGACACAAGAGGGGTGTGTGTGCACAGAGCCATGTGTGTGTACTTGGAAAGACCAAAAGAGATTTCCTGCCAACTTCCTTTAAAAAATAGTAACTCAGTCTGCCAACATGTTTGCCAGGAAACCTCTGGGTGTCTTCAAACTCCCCGGCTTATAGATGTAACTTTCATAGGGCAGGCAGCAAACACCTGGCAAAAGGTGGATTTAGCGGGGTTCTCAGCCAAGGACAAGGGCAAGGCTGAGCTGGAAGTGCCACTCTTCTAGTCCCCATGACCTGCCCCTCCCTCTGGGCTTTTCTGGGCTGATGACTACAGCCTGGGAGGAGAAGACCTGGACCTTCTCCAGGACATGGGCTGCTGCTGAGGACAGCCAGCGAGGACACCTGATGACCTGGGCAGTTGTGTGGCCCAGTGTGGAGTGTGACGGGGCTTGTCTGGTTTCCCTAGGCAAACTGGGCATTGCGCCCCCCAGCTGTGTGAGTGACATGGCGGAAATGGAGTGTGGCCGTGCGGAGGTGGAGGAGATGATGAGAGAGGTGAGTGGTGCTGGCTATCCCGGAAGCGACACTCGCTGGCACTCCCGAGAGCAGGAGCCCTGGCCGTCGCTCGCCTGCGGCCCACATCTCCTGAGCTGCTGCTCAGCGTCAGTGAGCTCCTCTCAAGTGCTGCACTGTCCTGTGCATCACCATTTTGGAGGGCAGTCTTTCAAGCAAGACCTTGCACCCTTCCAGGCCAGCTACAGCCAAGAGAACATCAGCCTTCTTGCTGCTGGGTTGTCAGGATGCCTCGTGGCTGTCAAACTGCCTAGATTTCTAAATGTGAATTTTATTCTTTAGTTGGTTGGAAAATCAGTTAACCAGGCCTGTGAGAAGCATTACCAGGGAAGGCCTCGAGGGTCTCCACAGGGGATGCACAGGGGTTCTGGGAGGCTGTTTCAGCTAATTGGATGCTGTCTTTTGCTCCTTTACCGTGTTGTTCCAAGACGGGCTTTCCCAACGCTAAAGTGATGGCCGCAGCCCTTGCTCAAGGTGGTGCAGGTGCTTGAGGAGGTGCTAGCTCACTTTGGGCAGCCGCGCTGCCTGCTGCTCTGCAGGTGGCAGCTGTTAGGGTTCTGTGTGCTCTTTGGCTGCGGACTGAGCAGCTTCTTGGCTCTTGAGTCTCACTTGCAGTGTCCTGCTGTCCTTGGAAGGCCTTTCTGCCAACTCAGCCGTCATTGTCCGTGGCTGTCTCAGCCTCTCCGCATCTGCCAGCCTGGGGTCCGCTGCATGACCTGGACTGTTTGGCTTGCCACAGATGCTCCATCTGAAGGCCAGGGAATGTCCAGCAGCCTGCAGGAGCTGGCCACTCGGCACGCTTGGTTGCTGGCCTGGTGGGTTTATGGCCAAGGCTTTTCAAGTGGCAAGGAAAGCGTAGCGTTCATCTCTTCGGACGGGGGAGACTATGTTGCTGCAGTTGGGTGGCATGTGCCTGGGGACTGAGGGGTGTGCTCTCACCATCGCAGCCTCCTGTGGATGACTACATGGGCATGATCAAGCGGAGCCCGTCCCCTCCGGAGGCCTGCAGGAGCCAGCTGCTCCCGGACTGGTGGGTGCCGCAGCCTAGCGCAGGTGAGGACCTTGCACCCTGGGGATGCGAGGGAGGTTTGGGCTGTGACATTGGTTGACTGTTGAGGGTACTGAGCCCAGGGAGGTGAAGACAGGCCCTGGCTCCCCACCAAGGCATGTCAGTGCCTCCTGAACCGTCCCCAGGGCTGGACAGAGGGCCCAGCAATGGACCACTTGCCCTCATCCTGGGATGCTGTGCTACATTTGGATGTTGGGGACCCTTCAGGGGCAACAGGAGCAGAGTCACCCTGGGGAGTGGGGCCCAGGTTGGCAGGCAAAATGGCCCAGAGCCCCCCTGGGAAGTTGTGGGTCTTCCTGAGCCTTATTTTACTCCTTTGGGAGCTGGAGGCCCTGGGGCCTGGCCTGTGGGCTGAGGGTGATACTAAGACCTGTCCTCTCTCCCCAAGGGCCCCGCTGGGCACACTCGGCACTCAGCTGCTCAAGCTGACTGGCAGCCTGCGGCTTCTGCAGTGCCTGAGCACCCCCGAGTCTTCCCATGACCCGGAGGGTGCAGCCGGCCCGGCAGGCTCAGGGCCAGCGTGGGTGGTGATGTCTTAGAGAGTGCTGGCTCGGGTGCCCTGGGTGGTGGCACGGGGTCCCCTGGGGGGGAGGGAACATGGCCCCAGGGCCACTGGCAGGGGCTGGAAGCCCCACAGTGCCGAGCAAGTCTGCCGCCTCTGACTCGGCCCAGGTCTGGCATCTGAGTGGAGGAGACCGGGGTCTGTGGGGGAAGAGCAAGGTCAGCAGAAGCTGTGGCTGGACCTCGGCTCTGTGGATGGCCTGTGGCCTCTGGGCAGCTGCCAGCAGGCAGCATGCTGAATTTGCTTTCTGTCCCCCACAGGCTTGCCACTGGTGACCGGGTACCCCACCTATGACCCGCACCATGCAGGTATGGAGTGCTCTGGGCCGGCATGGGTGCTGTTCAGATACAAAGACCAGCGAGCCATGTGGGCCCGAGGCAGAATGCCCAGCTCCTCCTCCTCTTCTTCCTCCTCCTCCTCCTCCTCCTCACTGTGTGGCCTTGGAGTGGGCCTCTGTCCCACCTTGTGTCTTCATACCCTGTCCCCTGTGGATGGAGGTGGTCTCCTGCTGTGTGATACTCTTCAGGGCCCCCCGATTGAGGTTCGGGCTGCAGACAGTGACACAGAGTGGAGGAAGCCGGTGTCTCCCCAGCATGTGGGTTCTTGGGGGGTCACAGAATAGCAGCTGGGAACTTGGGCAGAGGAGGGCTCAGGGCTCAGAGATGCATATGCCCTGGGCCATCCTGGGGCAGAAGTAGAAGCTCCCCAGCCAGGAAAACTGTTCCACCCAACTGCTGAGTGGGTCACAGGACCGAGCCCTGGCCTGGGCCATGCTGAGGCTGTTGGTGAGAGGTGAGGACAATCTGTGGAGGAAGTCACCCGGCCCTCTCAGAGCTGTCTCAGCACAAGGTGGGGGAAGTAGCCCTGGCAGCCGCCCTGCCAAGGGTCTGGCACCCCCTACTTGGAGCCCGAGCTGGTGTGGGTCCCCCAGTGCTTGGCCCTGCAGAGTTGCCAAGATGCAGGGATGAGGTGGGCAGCAGAGGGTGCATGGGCTGGGTGCCGAGAGGCCGCGCCCTGGGCCTAAGACCCAGGGGCATGCAATTCCCTATTTCCAAAGAAGCAGGAGTCCTGGCTTCCATGGGAGCTCTTGGAGTGAGGTGCTGGCCACAGGTCCTCTCGTGCTGGTGGCTGCTGTGGCCTCTCCTGTGTTCGTGTGCTGCTGTGGTGCGGGCTACAGCCTGGGTCAGTGGGGTGCAAGGCCAGCACCCCATCTGTACCTGTGCAGCCGTGCAGCTCCCCTCTTGCGCCAGGTGTCTTCCTTCCCTGACTGGAGCAGTGGTCCGGAGGTTAAGTCCCCCTCTGGTGGGGTGTGCAGCCCACCCTGGGCACAGACCTGGTCGCATCCTGAGCCTGGGGGCTGCTGTGGCTCAGGAGCCCTTCTGCTGAGAGCCTCTGGTGCTGCCCTGTGTGTTCAGTGGGCACTGGGGCTGAGAGCCCTTGTGTGCCAAGTGGCAGCGGCAGAAGCCAGCATGCTGCTGGCCCTCCTGTGCCAGGAAATGGCACCAAGACTAGCAGCTGCTGGCTGGGTCACACGGCTAGGGGCGGCAGTGCTGGGGCTCCGCCTTGGGCTGTGCCTTGCCATCGCATGTGCGCAGCTCCCCGTGGCGCCGCCTGTCTGCGCCTGGCAGCAGGTGCTGCCCTGAGATGAGGCCCAGACAGCAGGACCCCGGTCACTGCATGACAGTCACTGGTGGCGCCTTCCCTGGGAGCAAGGTTCAAAATTCATTCAGGGAAGGGAGTGTCAGCGCCCACAGGACGCAAGCACGGCACACTTGAGGGGACCACAGGAGAGGGGCACGGAGAAGCCAATGCCACTGCCTTTCGGCTGAGTGACCCCGCCTGGGTCCGTGTCCCTGAGTGTAGAGCGGACAGGTTGGGAGGTACAGCTCTGACTCCTGCCTCTGACTGTAGAGCTTCCGAGGAGCAGAGTGGGAGCCTGTGAACAGGGCGGGGAGCCTATTACCTGAGCAGAGTCCAGTGGGAGCGTCCAGGTGCCCGGCAGCCCCAGGCGGGTGCCCTGGGCTGTGGTCCAGGCAGTGCACTGCGCAGCTCTTGGGGCTCCAGGGCATCGAGCACCTCACCACTGGAGCAGTTGATTCCAGTGGGTCCCCTGCGTGGCCTGCAGCACATGCAGGACCACCAGACTCAGCCAGCAACTTGTTGGTGGGCTAATTCTTAGTTTTAGGGCTACTAACATGCAGGTTCCTGGAATATCCCACATTTTTTATTCTCTCTCTCTCTCTCTCTCTCTCTCTCTCTCTCTCTCTCTCTCTCTTTTTCTTTTTTTCTCTGCTATATCAGGGATGGAACTCAGGACCTTACTCTTGCTAGCTGAGCTATACTTCCACTTCCTGTCACTGAGACTTCTGTCACTTGAACCCTACCTTCACAGTGGGTTTTCACAGCCAGGAGCTGCCTGGACTCTGAGGAGCATAATATTTTTCTCACTCCTCTCACTTTTTGAAAGTAGTCCACTGGGGAGCCACTCTCTGCTTGGAAAGGGAAGAGTGGCACCTAGCTGGGAGCATGGGGTCAGAGGCCAGAGCTGAGAGGCGGGAAGGCCAAGGGCATGGTTCGTAACTTCAGGTTAGAGCCCTGGGTTCATTGCCGTGGTCCTAACAGGAAGTTGGTGGGCAGGAGGTGCTAAGGGTCAGCTGCCCCCCCCCATGGCTTCCTCTTCTGGTCACCTGCCACCACCTGGCGAGGGTGGAGTGTGGCATCCTCTTGGGCTGAGCCCCTCCGCCCTGCTCGCTGGTAGCACCTGCTCAATGCTGGGGCTTGTGGGGAGAGTTTCTGAGCCCAGGACACCCCCAGAAACTGATACAGCAAGAAGGTGACACCCTCTCGTTTTCTGCTTCCTGCTTCCCAGCTCCTCCTTCTGGACCACACTGCAGGTCAGTGTGTGAAGCAGATGTGGACGTGTTTCTGCCCCAGTGTGACGCGTGTGTCAGTCACCAGGCCTTCTGTCCCTTCCCCTGGGGCAAGGTGTAGGGTGTAGACCTAGGTTTCCCTGTGGACTGCTCATGCCTATGAGAGCGCCACCTCCTGAGTGGCCCTCAGCCATCCTGAGCGCGACCCAGGCGCAGGAGGCGTGGCGCCCATGTGGTAGGAGGGGGACTTGATGGCTGGGTGCCGGGCGCCCTCACCCGCCACCCTGACCACCCTGTCCTCCGCAGCCTTCTCCCAGATGGTGATTGGCTTCTACTACGGGGGCAAGCTGGTGGGCCAGACTACTACCACCTGCCCCCAGGGTTGTCGCCTGGCCCTGGGCCCGCCGGGGCTGCCCAGCACCAAGCTGTATGGGCCCGAGGGCCTGGAGCTGGTCCGCTTCCCGCCGGCTGACACCATCCCCAGCGAGCGGCAGAGGCAGGTGACTCGGAAGCTGTTTGGGCACCTGGAGCGGGGGCTGCTCCTGCACAGCAGCCGCCAGGGCGTGTTCGTGAAGCGGCTGTGCCAGGGCCGTGTGTTCTGCAGTGGCAATGCTGTGGTGCGCAAGGGCAGGCCCAACAAGCTGGAGCGCGACGAGTTGGTCCAGGTCTTTGACACCAGCCAGTTCTTCCGAGGTCAGTACCACCTCCCTGGAGGTTGCCCTGCCTGCCCTCTGTGTGGGCATGTATGCAGGTTGCAGCCAGGGCCCCGAATTGCTCTGCGCTTTGTCTTTGAGCTCTAGGGTCTCTGTGCCTCAGTTTCCTGCAGGGGATGGGAGAGTGCGCAGGCCCCGTTCAGCATCTGTGGCTGGTGGGGCCTGGACGCCACTGAGCATGTTGGAGGTATGCTGATGTGCACGCTCAGTGACGTGTGGACACTGCCGTGCTGTCCACTGACGTTCCTGCTCTGGGGGGGCAGGTGCCTGGGCCTCCTGCAAGGCCGGGGTGTCCTCCCTCCGCCTGTGCTCATGCGGCTCCTTGTCCCAGGCTTTGCTGCACCCCAGGGCGAGAGCTCTGGTGTGAGCCCAGGGCCCCAGCATGGCAGGGAGGCCGGGTCGTCATCCCAGCTGCGGGACCACACCGTTCCTGGGCTGCTGCAGCCCCGACTCCTAGTGAAGGTCCAGGATGCAGAGCCGCATTTCTCACCTGCTCCCAGGGGAGAGGCGTCCAGGAGGGTTGTGAACTCAGGCACCCGCAGGCCCAGGCAGGCCAGGAGGGAACAGTGCCCATTGGGGCAGCAGGGCCCAGAGGGCCAGGGTCTGCCCATGGTGGCAACATAATCCAGTGCCACCAGGGAGGTGCCTGAGAGCGCGTGCACACCTTGCCCTCCTAGCCCTTTCTGTCCCCAGCCTGCTGCCCAGAGCCTGCCCCCAGCCCTACACCTCCATGTCCCCACAGAGCTGCAGCAGTTCTACGTTAGCCAGAACCGCCTACCTGACAGCAGGGTGGTGCTGTGCTTCGGGGAGGAGTTTCCAGACATGGTGCCCTTGCGCTCCAAGCTCATCCTGGTGCAGGTGAGAGTGGTGGCCAGGTGTCCAGGTGCTGGGAGGGACCTTGTATTTGGGCTGAGGCGAGGTGGTGGGGACTGGGGGATCCCACCTGGGGCCAGGACAGACCTTCAGCTGCGGGCGGGTGACTGGGCTTGGCATCTCGGTGTGTGGGTGTATGTTTACTTGGTTGCTGTTTGAAATCAAAGCCTGTCCTCCCAGAAAGAGTCCAGCAGTTCAGTTCCCTCAAGTGTAAGTGATGGGCCAGGACTTTGTAAGTCTAAGTATAATCAAAGAAATGGCATGCTAATCCAGGTAATCCAGGCATGGGCAGCTCTGTGAGGTCGCTACTAGGCCGGGTGGGTGGCAGCCTCTGGAGGGACACCGCCCACTCCTGTCCTTCTCTGGGCAGGCAGGTGGGCAGTGCAGGCAGTGTGGCTCTGGTGGAGCCTGGCCGTCTGCTGCATCCCACCTGACGCTGCGTGAGGGTCCTGCAGGTGGAGCAGCTGTACGTCAGGCAGCTGGTGGAGGACTCTGCGAAAAGCTGCGCCCCCGGCTCTGTGCTGCCGGCGCCCGAGGAGCCCCAGCTGGACCAGGCCTTCCGGATGTTTCCTGAGATTTGTGCCTCACAACAGAGACCCTTTTTCAGAGAAAACCAGCAGATCACTGTCTAGGCGGCTTCTCTCCCCGGTGCCTCGTCCTGCCGGTGACTTACCAGCTACAGTGACAATGGCAGAACTCGGTGCCCCGTCTGGGTGGGCCGTTGGCTGTGAGGCTGAGGAGCCGTGCGGGCACACGCAGTTGGCCAGCGTCCTGTTCCCTCAGGAGGTGGGAACTTTAGCGCAGTGGCCTGGGTCCTGTAAATGTGATCCGAGGTTAAAAATTATATTTTCTGCATTTTTCATTAATTATTCTTAGTTGCTATGATTCATTCTGCATTTGGGGTAAAGTGAGTTTTCCCAAAACTTGTCATTCCTTATGACAGAGCCTTCGAGTTAAGGGATGTGGAGTGTAGAATGAACTTGTGAGAGGCTTTGGCTGTCTGCACGTCTCATGAAGGACATAGATGGGTGGTGCCCCATGCTCCGGTCTGTGTGGACAGAGGGTCTCCTTACTTTTAAGCCCTGTAATAAGATTTCTCAGTATTTAGCTGCAAGCTCCTAGGAAGGGATGAAAGCTGAAACCTGTTCTTCTCAGGAGCGCGCCGCCCCTGCCCGCGTGTCGGCGCCTTCAGACGTCTGGGATTCAGCTAAGCAGACTTTTCCTTTGGGCTTCGATTACTTGGAAGCTGAGAGCTAAATTCATTACTTTTATTTTTGTAATTAAATCATTCCGGATTCCTTTTTCTTTTCTTTCTAGAGGTTTTTGACTTGTTTTTAAAATAGTTGTACTTTTAATTATGTTACATGCTGTATTATAAGCTGCTTGGAATCTTTTTTACTTTAAAGTGAGGGGCGTGCAAACAAGTGTAGCAAGTGCCTGTGATTATGGAGTGTTTTACACGTGCTCAGCCCACTCTGTGCTCTGCTGCCCGGCGAGTGCCCTGTGGCTGGCCTCTCAGCTGGGGTGTCCTGGGGGAGGTGGCAGGGGCTGTCAGCTCCTCCCTGCCACTCTGCGGGGCTCCCCAGCCCACCCTTGCTCCGGCCAGTGGTGGCGGTGGAGAAGCCGGCGGAACCCCTCAGCTCTGGCCCTGCTCAACTGGCGAATGAGATGTGCGTCCTGCCAGGAGCTGAGCACAGGCCGGGGGCCGAAGGCCTGGTGGCTTGGCTGAGTGGCCAGCGCCGTTCATGCCCGTCACCCTTCTGACCCTGTAGCTAGTGTGTCTCCAAGACTGCATCCAACAAACACAGGATTAGAGGATACAAGAACATGTTGTCAAGGAGCGGCTTGTGTTTTGCCAGCTCCGGCCTCCGCCTGGGTGTCCTGTGGACCCGCGGGCACCAGCACACTGAGCTGCGTGGACGGTGGGGGCTGCGTGTTGTTGCACATGTGAGACTCGGGGGCGCAGAGTGGCTGGGGCACTGTGGGTACAGGTGCCAGGCAGGCCTGGGCTGTGGGGAGGGTCCCCTGCACTCTCCGGGGACAGGGTCAGGATCCCTTCTCCTGTGTGACCCCACCAGGTGCCCCTAGAGTCACCAGGGCTCGGGAGACAGCCTGGGTGGGGGCTGCCTCAAAATCTGACAAGGTAGAGCTCGCTGGGGGCAGCCCCCACCCGCTGGAGGGGAGCACTGCCGGGGAGCACTGCCGGGAGCACTTCCGGGAGCACTACCGGCACAGGTGTGTGCTGAGGTGTATGCGAGGTAACAGACATTCCGCTCCCCGCTCCAGTGTGAAAGCACGTCTTTAATATGCAGAGTGTATATTTATTTTTGTATTGTGTAAAAACTATATTGATCTTTCTTTATTGAAATAAATGCTCTTTTATAAAGCTGATGTATGTTCTTTTTTTGCCAACTGTTTTGTAGTTCCCACCAGATTCGAGGATCCTTAGGGGGTTATAAACACTCTGGCTGTGAGTGTAGGGACTTACTTTATGGCTTGCCCAACCCCCAGAGCCTTAACAGCAGGAGCATCTGGACCCTGCCTGGTGCGCAGGGCCCCTGCAGATGGAGCGGGAGCCCGCGGTGGGCTGGCCTTGGCCTGCTCGGGTTTCTGTGAGTGGACGTGCTAGCCAATAAGGAAGCAGGGCCGGCACTGGTGCTGCCACCCTGGCAGCCATGGGGACTGGCTGGTAGCCTCAGCCCAGGCCTGTCCCTCCCTTTGTGTGCCCATTCAAAGCGCTGGGCCCTGGGCTGATGCAGGCACGTCTGCCTGTCCCAGAGGCTGTGACTGGTCCTGCGTGGTGCTCCCATGGAGTGACCCAGACCAGAGCCACTCAGTATGGGCAGGTGACCATCTGTGTCTTGGTGGACATCGTGGCCACCCGGAGACAAGGACAGTGGCTGGCCATGCACCAGCTCTGCAGTCGTCTTGTAGGAAATCGTGTCAACTGCTTTGGGCAGCAGCTGGGGTCTCTAAGCAAGCACTTGTCTGCCCACTGAGAATGGGTGCTCCTGAGCACACCGCGAGGACCCTAGGGGGGAGCTGATGTCAGAGAGGGTTGCCCGACAGCACTGGACCGTGAAGGGCACAGTATGGCCAGATGTCCTGAGAAACAAGTCCCTTTCACTCTGTGGATCATAAAAGAGGCCTGAGAAATGGAGGGCGTCCAGCAGTCCCCTACCTCCCTCACTAACTTCATTTCTTGTGATACTAGGGGTCGAGGCGGGGTCCCCTCGCTGGGCCCCATCCTCATCCCTTTTCCCAGTTTTTACTTTGAGACAAGGTCTTGCTAAGTTGCCCGGTTGCCCAGGCGGGGCCTGACCTCGCAGTCCTCCTGCCTCAGCCTCCCAGAGTGCTGGGATTCCAGGATCTGCCCTGCTGTTCCGCTGTAGCTCCCCAACTTTGGCAAAATCCATTTGAGATGCAAGGTTTTGTTTCTCCTTGTAGTATCCACGCGGCCGAGACACTGGCCCCTGTGATAGACGTCCACGGGCCCTCCTGGGCCTTGGAGTCCCGGCTGAGTCCTGAGGCACCCCTGCAGGCCCTGGCTCTGTGCTTGGGGACTCCACACAGAGCAGCAGCCCCGGGGTCGGGGAGGGGTGACTCGGGCCATGCCTCAGGCTCTGTCACTGAAAGTTCTGCAAGCTAGTTACTCAGCACTCTAAAGTTCTTTATCCTGAAAGATCTGTAGTGCTGGAGAACATGGCTGTTGTGCGGGAAGCCGAAGGAGCCCAGTGCTGGTTCCCTGGTGGCCTGGGGTCCGAGGCCAAGTACCAGCCTCGGGGCTCCTCAGCTCCATCGCCCACGTGCCAGAGTCCAGAGCTGAGGGCGCCCACTTCTTTTCTTGCCAGCTTGCCTCCCCTGGCTTCGGTCTCCCCTTTGTGCCTCAGACCTCCCCCCAGTCGGTGGTGCAGAAGGCAACGCTTTGCTGGTGGCCTTGCTGGTCACCACTGGGACTGGGCACGTGGCGCTGGCTTTTCTCTGCTCTGGTGTCTGGCTGTCCATGGGGAAGAGGCCCCAGGATGGTCTGAGGGTACATTTCGGCGTGGGGCCCAGAGGCTGTGGTAGAGCGTGGCACCCTCCCTGTGGTGGGTACACCCATGTGCCGTGGTTGGTTGATTGAGGTCCTGGGAATTAGACTCAGGCTGTTTGCACTGAGCAATGTCCCCAGCCCTTCCTTATGTATATCCCAGGCAGGGCCTCACTGCGTCCCTACGTTGCCCAAGCTGGGTGGGAACACACGACCTCCTGCTCCGGCCTCCCAGCATGCAGGGCGGCAGGCGTGCGTCACCACACCTGGCCAAGCCTCCTCATTTGTTATTACACCTTCTGCTCTCTCCCTGGGCATCCCGCTCCTTCTGTCCTTGGGTCTCCTCTCAGAAAGGGCTTTTCCCTGGGGTGCCCGCCCAGGGCTCTGTGAGCTGCTGTGTCCTGGTGTAAGTCCTTCCCTCAGGGTTGCGGGTGTGGGGACGAGGGTTCTGGTGAGAGCCCTGGTGAGGGGTTGCCTCTTCCCCTCTCCTTTCCCTCACTGCCATGGGGAGTGGCTGGCCCACCCTCCACCCTCCTCAAGTGCGATGGCTCTGCCACTTTCTTGGTGGTCTCGGGGAGTAACTGGTGAGCAGGCTCAGGCCAGAACTTCCTGTGTCTCCTGTTGCGGGGAAAGAGGCCCCCATCCAGGGCTCCGAAGCTCCTGTGCCTCCGTTTCTCCTTGTAGGCTTTGAGCTGCTTGTTAACACCTCAGGGATTGAGAGCTGGCGTGGTGAAGGTGGCAGCTCACTGGGCTGTCAGGAAGGCGCCACAGCAGAGCCAGAGGCCAGGTGCAGGCGTCCAGCCCAGAGGAGGGGAAAAGCAGGGTTAGCTGTGGCCTGCGCCACTGAAGAGGCCTCCAGGGGCTTCTGAGGCATGAGGTGGCTGCAGGGCCGGCCTGTGGCGAGGCTGGCAGATCTGGGACTCCTTGGGCATGGGGCTGGCCGCCCAGAAGCCCTGGGCCACTGCAGGGAGTCGGGATAACCTGGACTTGGAAGGGTGGGTGCGCAGCGCCCGTGACAGGAGGTGTCAGAGGACGCAGGGAGGGGCCACCTAGGGCCCTCGCCCATGCTGCGCTGGCGCTGGGCAGGGCCGGGAGAACCCCCTGCGCTGTTCAGGCAGAGATCGCAGCACCTGGCGAGCAGGTGGCTCGCCCAGCACAGGGCTCAGCACAGCGCCTGCCGCGGAGCAGGTGATAGAGTCGGGCGTGCGTTTCTCCTTCCCGTGCCTGTGCACCATGCGTTGTCACACACTTGTGAGGCTCAGAAAGTAATAGAGCCGGAATGCTGTGACTACATAAAATGTGGAGTGCTGGAGAGAGCCCGTGACTGCACCCCGAGAGGACGGGCTGGTGTCTGTGTTCAGTGACGGCGAAGCTCTCAGGAAACAGCTTCCACGGTCTCCGGGGGGCCACGGTCTGCCTCAGTGGTACTCGCACTGTGGGCCACACAGGGGCATGGGCATGCTGAGCGGGTGCTGGGTGAGTGGAGGTGGCAGGCTGAGCCCTGGCGGTGATGCCTGCCCCTGCTGCTGGGCTGCGTTCCCCTAGAAGCCCAGAGACACCAGAGGGCTTGTCGGGGTCCTGGGGCAGGTGATGGTGGGGGGTTGAGCTTAGGCATGAACTCAGCTCCTGCCCTCTCCTTCCGTGCAATGGGGTGACCTGTGGGGTCACGGGAGGAGGGAGGCTGAGGCAGGAGGGAGGTGAGCAGGGTGGGGGTGGGGTGGGGGGAAGCAAGCATCCTCCCCTCTGGGCCAGTCTGTAGTGCAGTGGGGAGGGGGCTCAGTGGAGGGAGGCACGTGGCACTGCCCTGGGCTGGCGACACTGAGGGCCACACCCTTCTGTCAGGGACCTGCTCCTTTGTCTTAGCCATTTTTCTGAATTATAAAGGCCAGTTTTTCTGAATCACACACATGTAAAAAATGAAACTTGAAGATAAAAATCCCCCAGAGAACTCGAGAGGGCAAGGTCGGCGTCTTCCTGTCAGGCCTTTCAGGAGAAAATCACTGAACGCGTCGAGGCCCTGGGTGCGGTCTCCCTCCTGTGGCACCTGCCAGCCCGCTCTGACCCCTCCAGCGCTGGCGCAGTGCAGTGTTGAGCAATCGGGGCCAGTTAGGAGGCCTGAGCCCAGAAATAAAGTGACTGTTGCAGGTCTGCCCTGCGGCCTGCTAGGGCAGAGGGCGGCAGGCAGGAAGCAGGTGGCCTGGCCTGGCGCACACTGCAGGGCAGCTCAACTGCAGGGCTGCGGGTGTTGCACCACCGGCCGGGCCCGGCAGGACCCTGGCGCACAGCCACAGGCAGGCCGGGGTGGGGCGGGGCTGGGGAAGGGCGGACAGCAGGGCCGCCAGGAGGCTGTGTGGGCTGAGCATCACCCTGCCTCCCCACGGGTCAGCCGCGAGGCTGGGAATGCCTTCCCCTCCCCAAATGCCAGGATCCTCAGCTACCAAGTGCCCATGGCTCCTTTATCACCTGGACACCTCTGGGCAGTGCTCCCTGCTCCTGGAGCTGCTGTGAGGGTTTCATGAGGCGGGCCGTGGAAAGGGCTGGTGGCAGCAGGTGGGGTGACCTTCTGAGGGCCATCCTTCTGAGGGTGTTGATGGGGAGCCCTAAAGTCCCAGTGTTGTGTGCTGCCTCTCAGGGATTAGTCCTGTGTCCTCTCATCCTCGCTGCTGGCCTGGGTGCGTATTCGGTGACAAGCCAGGCACTGGTGCAGCTACTCAGCAGCATGGGGAATCGGCTGACGCTCGGACCTGGGCCACAGAGGTCTCCCATCTGCTCTGATTCACTGTCCCCCAGGTCTCTCGTGTGATGTCATGGGACGGCTCTGTGCACCAGAGTGCTTGAGCCGGCTTCTCCCTGGGGGCAGATGATGATGGGGTGGCTACCTGGGGGCTACTCGAGGGCGTGGGGTTGCCTGAGAGGAAGAGACCACAAGGGCCTCAGCTGGCTCTGCTGGCGTCTTCCCACTGTCCCCATGTGGTGCTCTCAGTCTGCAGGACTGAGCCCCTCGCACATCACGCCCCGCCCACGGCCAGCAGGAGGTCAGCGTGAGGACAGAGGGCAGGGCTCATGCTGGCCTCCCTGGGCCTGCTGCTGCATCTGTCCTGGGCAGGGGCTCCTCTCCATGTTGCTTTGGTTCCTGGGGACAGCTCTGCTGCTGCTTGTCCTAAAGCTGGGTCATCTCCTTCCGCTCCCTGCAGGCCAACCAGGCATCTGTGAGGCAAGGACAGAGCCGGGCAGTCGCAGCAGAGATGCCCACTGGTGGCACTCTCGGGCTCTGCTGGCCTTGTGGCGGGAGCCTGTTGGTGGGGTCCGTCCCTTGGCAGGTGTCGTTGGGACAGCTGGTGCCTGGAAGGACTTTGTTC